TTTTTGGTACCTGGGATCAAACTCGGGTCCTTGTGCTTGTGCAGCAGGTGGCGAAACCACTGAGCTAAATCCCCAGGCCTCGTATGTTATTTTTTACTCAAGATCATAGTACATGCTTTATTTTTGAAACATGGTCTTTTTGGCCAATGATTGTTTTTAGTTTACTTCCCTGGCCATATTTACATAATTATCCCCAAAATAACATCTACATCTGGTTTGTTTGTGCAACAGGAAGTATTTTGTGGGGGACTGATGACAATGTATCTTTTACATTAATAATTTTTTTAACTCTTCACCATGTTTTTATCACACCTTGAACATGTCCCAAATAACCAGGTAGAGAACCTAGCCAGTAAGCAAAGGGCATCATAGACATTTAAGTGGTCTCCGTCATGTATATATGCCTTAGGTTGTTTAGAGCATCTATTCTATTAGCCTTGTTATCTGGGATATAAGCACAGCAAGTTGTATCAATGAGGGCCTTGGTGAGTCCATGGGCAGCAGATTATATGCTCAAGGCCATTCTGTTTTGCAATGCTACTCTTTGCATCTGTGCTCTTTCCTGATTGAGCAGGAAGATGCCCTCATGTTTAGTTTAGTGCCTTGGCAGTAAAGTTGGCAAGAACTCGTACTTAAATTAAAGAATTTGGTGCCCCTGCTTGAGGCACAAATGGGGTGAAGGAATAATCTCACCACTGGTGAAAGTGGGCCCCCAGTGCTGGCAGGATTTTGAGACTAGTGGGCAAGGCAAGGGGCATCACAATTCCTGACTTGAAATTATACTATAAAGCTACTTTAATAAAAATAACCCAGCATGGTGGGGCTGGGGATTTAGCTCAGTGGCACAGCTCCTGCCTGGCAAGCACCAGGTCCTGAGTTTGATTCCCTAGTACCAAAAAACCACAAAAAAACAGCATGATACTGGCAAAAAAAAAAATCAGATCTGAGGATCTATGGAACAGATTAGAAGATGCAGAAACAATTCCCAGCATATTCAGACACCCTTGTCTTTGACAAAGGAGCCAAACACCTTCACTGGAAGAAAGATAGCCTCTTTAATAAATGGTGCTGGTAAAACTGGCTTTTAACTTGCCAGAGATTAAAACTAGACCCATATCTTTTACCATCTACAATACTAAAATTGAAATGAATCAAAGATATAAACATTAAAACAGAAACACTAATTCTGCTGGAAGATAGAATAGATAGAACTCTTGAAGACACTGGTGTAGGCAAAGACTTTATGAACAAAGCCCAGATCACACAGGAAATATCACAAAGAATCAACAACTGAGATCTCATCTTATTAAAAAGCTTTTATACAGAAAGAGAAACCACCAACAGAATGAAGGGACAACCTACAATGTGGGAAAAAATTTTGCCAGCTATTACTCAGACAAAGGAGTACTATCTAGAATATATTAAAAACTCAAAAAAATCAGACCCCCAAATTTAAAGACCCAATCCAAAAATGGGCATCCTAAATGAATAGACACTTCTCACATGAAGTAGAAACAGCAAATAAATACATGAAAAAATATCACTTGTCATTCGAAAGATACAAATTAAAACAATGCTGAGATTTCATCTCACTCCAGAAAGAATACCTGTTATCAAGAAATCAACCAATAACAAATGCTGAAGGGTCTGTGGGGAGAAAAGAAACCCTTTTCCACCGTTGGTGGGAGTGTAAACTGGTACAACCACTGTGGAAATCAGTGTGGAGTTTCCTCAAAAAATAAAACTAGAGGTTCCATTCCACCCAGCTATTCCCCTTCTTGATATTCTTGATATTTTCTGAAGCATCATACCATCATGATATATGAACACTCATGTTTACAGTGGCACAGTTTGTAATTTCCCAAATGCCCATCAACCAACAAATGGATAAAGATGTGCTTTCTTATACAATGGAATACTACTCTGCCATAAAGAAGGATGAACTTGAGACATTTCTAGCTAAATGGATGCACCTTGAGACCATACTCTTAAGTGAAATAAATTGGAGACACATATTTAAATACCACATTGTTGGGCCAGGGATTTAGCTCAGTGGTTCCACCACCTGCCTCACAAGCACAAGGTCCAGAGTTTGATCCCTAGTACCAAAAAAAAAAAAAAAAAAAAAACCCACATTGTTTCTCTGCTGTGGGAAACCAAAAGTAGAAATAAGGAGTAAAATGTGTAATAGATATTGGGAAATAGGAAGAAAATGTTCAAGTGAGAAGGGGAAAAAGGGAGTGGGGAGAGGAAAGAAGGGACAAGAAAAAGAGAAAATAGAAAAATGGAAACAAAGCTTTCGTATATAAGGAGGGGAAGAGAGGTGGAAAGGGAAAAAAAAAAGAAGCAAGATATATCATGTAGAGGTATAAATTCCCTATGATGAGTGTTATGATTATGTATATCTAAAATGTACCAGTAAATGTTTTGTTTAAAAAATAGATTTTGGGGGCCAGGGATTTAGCTCAGTGGTTTCACCGCCTGCTACGCAAGCACAAGGACCCAAGTTCAATCCCAGGTATCAAAAAAAAAAAGATTTTGGTTAGAGCTTCACAACTTTTTGAATGACTATATGATATGTGAATTGTATCTCAATAAGGCTGCTACCAAAAAACCCCTAAATCTCATGTTCACCTCCCTCCTAACATACTTGTTGCCATTTCCTGAATTTTGTCTATTACATTGGTTTTTTTATTTTTGTAAATGTATTCCTTAACAACCAACAAGGATAATTCCTAATATATATTGACTTTGCATTTTTGAAGTTTGTAAAAATGGAATCAAACATCATGTATTCTATAACTTGATTTTTTTTTTTACTCAAGATTACTGCGTTGTTGAGTTGTAGTTGTTGTGCGTCTGTAGAATGTAGCACAGTTCCCTTATCCTGTCCCTTGTCAACAGACATTGGGGTGTACTTGGTGTGTCACCATTACTGATGAGAGTGTCCGGGGTACCCACAAGTCTCCTAGTGTACCTGCACGGGCTTTTCCCTAAGCAAATGCTTTAAAATTGTTTTGACTGAAATAGCAAGAAATA